GAAAATTTGAGGAGATAGAATTGTGGGAGCTACTATAAAAAAAGATAGGTTACCAACCAATGCGAGTCTTCGGTAATTTAATTTGATATTTTCATCAGTTGCATCATAATCAACCTCCAGCACTTTGTAATAATCCTAAATGAAGAGCACATAAAATTAAAAACATTTCAAGCTCATCAACTAACGTTTTTGCTACACGCAGTGATGATGGCATTGCCAAAGTAAGATAGTTTCAAGCACCGACATGAGAGTGGCAGAGTTTTTAAGTTTCAAGAAAGCAGAGAAAACTAAATCAGCTCTAAGACTGTGTTGAATAGAGTGAGAGACATATTTCATAAAATGCTCCAAAGCAGTATCAACCAAGCAACCAACTAACAGATAAACCTACACACACTGCACTTCTCAGACCAATTTAACCCACAACTTCAATCTGCCCGAAGCTTAACTATTAACTAAAATAGTAATCAAACACATACACTACTCAATTCAGCAATTTTATTCAATATTTTCCTTCCTATCAGCTCCAAACTACATTCTTCTCAGACATATGACATTCCTCTTACCCAGTCTCAAAAGGGTTCCGCCGCCATCAAATAGAAAACAATGTAGGAAAGGGGCGAGGAAAAAATAAAAAGAAAACACATATAAACTCAAATAAGAGTGTCGATTTTCAAATTAAAAGAATCCAGCAACAAATTTGGATCAAAATTAACTTTAGTCTCGAATATTTTCAAGAAATGAAATAGCGCAATAGTATGAACGGAAAGTTGAAAAATGAAGATTACATAATACCTTAGGAGGGTTTGTGTCGTCAGCAGCAGCCATGTGCTACGGAAACGTGGTCGACATGCGCACCTTCTCTTACATAATTCATCGGAATCCAACACAAACCTCGGAGACCAAAACCAGACCAGCACCACAATGCTTCAACCAACCACAGATACGCTTGATGTTGAAGAAAAGTAATTAGTCGCCGATTGAAAGGAGTGCGATAAAACAAAGTGAGAATTGGAAATTTGTGTGGTGAAAGAGAAAACAAGAGGACATTCCTATGCCACAATTGGGAAATTAGGATCGCAATTAGGTTTTTCTTTTTTTTCCCTTTCTGTTTTTGTTTTTGGGTATGGCGCTTTCTACCGTTATGTTACGCGGTTGTTCATCGTGGTAAAATTCGTGGAGGGAACGAATCTTATTATTCTTTAGATAGATAATAATGGATTTAAATTGTTTATATTTTAAATACTTCATTTCACAAACTCGGTTCAAATTTATTAAATATTAATTTTTTCATAAAATATTTCAATTATTATTTGATAAAAAAGTTAATATTAAATAGTATTTAATAACTCAAAAGTGATAGGTGAAGTTACGACGCTGGGGATAATATTTTTTTTTGTCAACATCCTTATAAGAATTTAATTTACGCTTGCAAAATTTTTGTATGTATAACTATTTTGACTAATATTGGTCCCACTTAATCTTCTTTATGTTGTTGGTAAATGGTATTATTTTAAAAAAAAATCAATTTCTTAAGTATCAAAATCTTATTTTTATCATATTCGATATTTTGTTAACTATTTAATATCCTTTTTATTTAAATTAATTTTAAAAATATTTTTAATTTTAAAAGTATGTTTCATATAAAGATAAAAAGATGTTTAATTATTATTTAAATTTAAAAAATAAAATTGTAATATTATAAAGAGTTAAATATATTTTTCGTCCCTTAAGTATCACACGATTTTGGATTTAGTTCATACTCGAAACTTTTGTTCCTTTCACGTCAGATGCCACTTTCCCTGATAACTTTGTGCCACGTTTTTTTTTCTTTTTTTTTTCTCTCTTTTACTACTCTTTTTGCTAAGAACCCTAATTATTTTCAAACATAAAAAACCCCTAATCTGATTTATTAAATGATTGAAGACATGTTCACGTAAAAGTGCTTGATTGAAGACATGCGCGATTTGCGCGAAGTTGAACGGAGAAGACAAAGAAGCGTCGAGAGATGGAGGTTGCTTCGCGCAGGTTGTTGCAAGCATGGCTTAGACGGAGGTTGAAGGAGATGAGGGAGGCGTTTAATGCTTCCATGGCGCGATTAAGACGAAGGAGATTCTTTGAATGGTGGCGCAAAGGAGGAAGATGTCTCGCGAGTTAGGGTTTCACAATTTGGATTGTTGATTTCTGGAATTTGCTATTCAGGTGCGAAGGTGTGAAGAAGATGATGAAGTGCGATTTCGCGAGTGTAATTTGGGATTTTATGGTTTCTTTGCATTCAATTAGATTTTTCTTCTGCAGATTTCCATGGTGATTTCGATTTAGTGAAGAAGATTAGTGTAGGGAGATCGTTGTGATTACCCTTTTGTAGGAGTTGTCCATGGTGGACTCATGGTGATGGCCATGGAAGTAATTGAATCGCGAGGGAATTAAGAAGGGGCATAAATTGAATCGTGGGTTGAACTGATGTATTCAAAATTTGAACTTGTGCCTTTTTTAGTATCTGAACCTGATGAGTTTGTTGTTATTTGGTGGGAGAGGAGAGATGGGTGTTGCTGCTATTGTCGAACTTTTGATTTTTGCTAAGAACCCTAATTATTTTCAAACATAAAAAAGCCCTAATCTGATTTCATAAATGAAAACATATGTGACACATCACTTAAATATGATTTCAAAAAATAAAAGTAACGTGGCACACAAATGGTATCAGACTGACTTGCCGTTAGCCACCTCACAAGAAAATCTAACACCGTTACTTTTTAAGGACTAAAAATACGAGTTTTAAAACTAAAAGGACTAAAGGAACAAAAGTTTTGAGTCGGGACTAAATCCAAAATCGCGTGATACTTAAGGGACGAAAAACATATTTAACCCTATTATAAATATCATGTAGTCTTTATATAATCACAACATCAAGATCTTCATTTATAACCAATCAATTTTATAAAAAAGTAAAAATTATTGTAAAATAGTAAGTTAACTTATACTTTTTCTTCTGTTTTCGTTGTTTTCTTAATGCATGCAATAGGCATGTATAGTTTGAGTCTTATATTAATCATATGTTGATCATTAGTTTTAACCAAATACCTTGATCATGATTTTGTAGTTCATAGATGTAATAAAGTTCTTTAAGATGGAAAAATGGTTTAGGTTCTTTTGCAGTTGTTGAAACTTCTAATAAATAAGAGAATCTAAATATTTTATTTCTAAAGTTTTAATAGTTTTGATGAGCTGAGTTATCATGTTGAAATTGTATGAAATCATTATTGACTCTTGTTTAAATTTTATGATCATGTTTTGTGTGACAAGTTGAAATTGGTGGTTGGTACGGTGAATCTATGAATGTTTGATTTCTGTTTTAATTAGTCACTTTTGTTGAACTTTGGTTTGATAATAGGTTAGAGTAATAATTTGTAATTTTTGGACTAAAACTGGGATTTGATAAGTGAAATTCTAAAGTGACGATTTTTTGGGTGAGTTTAACATTTTGAGTTTGTAATTGTGTCCATTAGAACTTGGTTAGCCATTATGTCTACTAAAATATAATATATATTATATGAAATATGTGATTTGAGTTTTTAGGAAGTTGATTTGATTTGAAAGACTGAGTTTTTTGTCAATTAAGCAAATTGGTATTCAGTATGAGTTATAAACATGTTTTTAAATATATTTTTTGTGTCAAGAAAACCAATTTGGTCATTTAAATAGGTCTCGAGTGTATGCAAATCAAGTTTTTAAGTTATTGTTTTATAGTATAGTCGAGTGGTTATGTGTGGTGTTGAGTGCTACCAAACCTGAGAACTACTATGCTTTAGGACGTTGAGCGACCATTTGGGCATTGAACGCTACAAAGTCAGTGAATTCTTCGATATTTAGGTGCTGAGCGGTGGTTTAGGACATTGAGCGTCATTTCTCCATATAGGTATGGATCTTGTTTTTTCTCGATATTTTGTCTTTGTTCTAATAATATTGTGATTGTTTTCTCCAATATTTGATTCATGTTTGTTTAAAATAATGTTGTATAGAACTATATCCTTGTTTTATATTGGAGATTTTGTTTAGGTTTAGTGAATGATACATGTAGATATGATACAAGTGGTATATGATAAAATTGTGAATGTGAATTGTATAGTATTATAAGAAATTAAAAGAAAAATCCTTTAAAACGATTATGTATAGTATATGTATATCAGGATTACTACAACATTCTTAATAACGTATAGAGAAAAAGTTATGTCGGGGAGAATAATAAGAATGTTTTTTATTTTAATCTTTATTTTCTTAATAACCATGAAGTTTAAATTAGAACTTTCTTTATCACGTAGTATAAACATGACTGATAAAAAAATAGACAACAAATCAATTATTTTGAAAGTAAAAAATAAACGGTGTGAAAGTTTCTGTCATTTCATTTTCAATTTTACATATATATTTATCCGAGAAAACAATTACTATCAATTTCACTTAAAAGAAACATTAGTTATTATCAACGAATAAAGCAAATTTCAGAATTAATGGCGTTTTTATCAAAGTTAAAACCACAAACATCTAATAATGTCAAATAAGAGAGAGTATATAAGACAAGAGTATATGAATGTGAGAGGAAAATATAAAAATAATTTATATTGACACTTTTTGAAATGAAATATAGTGTTGAGTAATAAACTACCCAAATAAATTTATTATATATATTTTTTTTAAGAAACTACCCAACATATTTTAAGAGTATTATATTGTTTGAATATTTTTCAAAGAAGATTTCTAAATATATATTCATATAAATATATGTATTTATTTTTTTATAATTAATATAACTATAAAAAAAGACGTTACACTAGCAACTCTCTCCCATCTGGCCTCGAATTCCTTTAATAGAGTAATTACCATATTATTTGTTTACAATGTTTCAGAGGTCAGAAACTAACTTCTTGATGCTTATTTTCGGCTTTAAATAATTTGAAAATTTTAAAGAATTAGTAATTTAATTAACTAAACGTATNATAATTGGAATTGACAAAAACGAGAAGAAGAGGGAAAAAGGAGAGGCTTTTGGAATGACCCACTTCATAAATCCTACTGATTCTGCTAAATCTGTTTCAGAATTGGTTAAAGAAGCAACTGGTGGAATGGGTGTGGATTATTCCATTGAGTGCACCGGAATTCCTCCTTTACTTACTGAATCATTGGAAGCCACAAAAGTGGTTAGTTTCATCTCATGTACCTGTTTGGCTACTGTTCTTACATCTACAATATCAATATCACAAATGAGATATAAGTGTAATTATACACATTTTCAAAACCTTAAGATAAAACTTAAATTCAGATTTTAATTAATCCTAAAAAAATTAAACATGAGTGTACTTATATGCTAATACTTCAAAATGACACTCTAGACAATAATGAATAAACCTTAATCCATCATGATTGTACATGTACTCTTGTTGTATTCCCTTCTGTGATTTTGTGTTAAAAGCTATTTCTTTCTTACATGCAGGGAACGGGTAAAACAGTAGTAGTTGGAATACCAGCAGAACCAACTGTTCCTTTGGGTATAATAACCATTCTTTTGGGCAGAACTTTGAAAGGTTCAGTTTTTGGGGGCCTAAAAGTTAGATCTGATCTGTCCATAATTGCTGACAAATGCCAGAAAAAGGTAACCCTCTCTGGCATTAACATTTAATTAACTAAAGTATATTAATTTTCTAAATCATTTCTTGCATGTGTTTTATGCGAAGAATCAATTATGTAGTGATAAATTTGGTAATTTTTTACAGGAATTTCCTCTTGAAGAACTACTGAGCCATGAGGTCCCATTAGAAGATGTTAAGAGAGCATTCGAGATATTGAAGGAGCCCAATTGTCTGAAAATTGTCATCAAGATGTCGCACTGAATACAGAACAAGAGACAAAGGCTTCAACAGAGTGCAGAGATTCACGTGAAACTCTGACATTTCTATCAGAGGATACTTTTAACATGTGATTCAGAAATATCTCTGTAACAAATAAAAAATAGTGGTGTAGAGCACCACTCTTTTAAAAACATTCTATGGTATATTTTTATATATTGTTAATTTTTTTATTCAATATAAAATATAAAAATGTAAATAGATATTCAAACAGATAGAATATTATGAAAGCAATTAAAAATGTAAAAAGAAATTGAGAATTTGATTTTTATTTGCAATTTATTAAATCAGATGTTTTTATTAACAGGAAACATTAAAAAAATCGAATTGAAATCGGTGTTCTTTTTAATTTTCGTTTAAAGTTGAGACTGATTTTGAAAGCAAACTTTTACTAGCAGTCTGGATTTGTCAAATTGTTTTTACTGGATATAAAAAAATTAGGCACAGGTGTCAACAGTTATTTACAGTGTTAATAAATCACACATTTATAACGTAATTATAGATGAAAGAAATTAATTGTTAATTTTTTTAGAGCTACAACCACAGCACAAAATAAAACTTTTACAGTAAAAAGGAAGATAATGTTATTGTGAGTGGACTTTCTTTTTTATAAACAAACCGTCTTAAAAAAATTAACCATAAAGAGAAGATTTATGTACTGTTAGCAAAATGGAGAGAACAACAAAATCAAGTTTTCTTTTTCTTTCATGAAATTTATTCCATTTCTTTTGGAGTGAACTTTTGTAATTTTATTTTTGGAAAAAGATTAATTTTTGAAAATGAGATAAAAAATCAACCAGTTGTAAATAATGGAAAAATAATCTGATTTTATTTTTAATATTTTTTAGAAATCTATGACATAAAAAGTATAAATAGAAAAACAGTTGAAACGAGAAAATATCTTAACTACGATTTCTTCTCTCATTCAAAAGTTTGACTTTCTAACATATAATGATCACACTATTTTTTATTTTTTTATGAGTAAGAATTAAATATTTACATTCATTCAAACACCATATTTAACCAAGGCTATAATAATTCTAGTAGAAATATTTTATATAAAAATGTAAATAAATCACTTATTTATTCTAAATTATGTCATGCACAATAGTAAAATATCCTGCATTAGAGCATATTAATTTGACGTTGCCTGTCATAACTTGGTCATCATATATTAATTACTTAACTGACTAGCAAAATAATTTTTTGATAGATAAGAAAGAAATAGAAGGAGAAAAGTGAAGAGCGAGAAAAGAAAAGAAAAAGTAAAAATAAAATTTATTTAATTGAAGATAAACATTTTTTTTCAATATTATTTAATTAAAAAATATACATAGCTCAGGTCATCTCCCTATGCTTTTTATACGCTCCCGAATTATTTAATTCTAGCATTAAAAATATGACGCCCAGTCTGCTAAAAGTATATATAATCCTTTCATTAAATTATGATACTTATTTGTATGGTTGTTTTCTAAGAGAATGAAAGTGAAAGATGAGTTGAATTATAATATATGAAGATTAGTAATTACAAGTTTTACACATTATACCTAATGTTGCGGTTATGGAACACATCGTACCTAATGTTTTGGTCATGAAATTCGAGATTACATATTTATTGTATTATATATGTTTTAATGTCTAACTTTTCGTCTTCTTTAACAATTATAATAATTAATGTATATTAAATATAATTATTTATAATTTTTAGAATAAATTTTAAATTAACAACCCGCCTATTTACACTCTGATTATTAATAATCATATTTTATTCTAATTAATATTAATTATAATTTGGTGAAAGTTGGACCTTTCCACGTATCATAACCGATTTTTCCGATTTTTCATACAATATACTTAGAATAAATTACCAACGACCTTATTACAATCTAATTATTGATAATAATTTATTTTAAGTTAATTAATGTTGATTATTTACTTTAAGTTAATTAATGTTGATTATTTACTTTAAGTTAATTAATGTTGATTATAAACTCGTGATATGTTTTAATATCTAAATCTTTGTCTTGAGATAGACTTTAGATTATCAAAAACTTAACTATAATCTAATTGTTAATAATTATTTACTCTAAATTAATTAGTTTTAGTTATAAACTCGTGAAAATTAGAACGTTCGACATCATAACAAATGACTGTCCAATTTCTCATAAACCTGATCGTGCACTCATACAATACACCTAGAATAAAGTTTGTTTAAACTTTTTCTGAGATAAAATATAGAGCTTCGAATTAGAAATGTTCGTATGAAAAGGGAAAAGAGCGATGATGAAGCCAGGAACAAAGGAAACCATGTCATAAAAATAGTCATCCGCAAGTTCCTAGTAACATTTCTGAAATTATATCGGCTGAAATTCTCTCTATATACAAACACAAACAGCCGTAACTATGCGTTCTGAAACCAAAAAGAAAGTACAAAAGCAAGTATTTAACAAGGGGAGAAAAGAAAAGAAAAGAAAACTTATTTTAGCCGCCGGGTACATGAACAGGTGAACGTCTCTTCTCTGTATAAGGGATTCACTGGACTATTACATACATGATGATAGGCTATATGGCTGCTTTATCAAAGGCATCTGGAACAAGAACAAGAAATGTACATGGTCAGTAATAGCAACGCAGCATGTTTATTTATTTGTCCGTGAATCTACCAAAAAGAAGAAACGGTGATTTAGCATCAGGCAAAGGCTCATCTCTTGCAACTGGTTTGATGTGTTCTTTGCTTGATGATGGAAATGATAGTGACAAGGAAAGAGATGCAGCAACGTTGTCATCGTCTCGCTCGATATCTGGAGTCTTTTCTGGGTTGATTTTCTTGTCACCTGTACCAACAAAGAAAGGCATCATACCCTTGTGTGACGGTTTCGTTTCACCTCCCAAAGCAAGCTCCAAATTTGGAATCCCAACTTCAAATTGGTCCACGTACTCACGAGGCCCATTCAGTGACTCTCTGTTCACCATCCCCAAGTTAAGTTTATTACGAGTATCCACAGGAAAAAAGGTTCTTTCCATCGTTCCTAGGTCCTCGTGGATGATTTTCTCATCGCAAGCTTCTTTGCCCCCTAAAGAACAGGAACCAAGATTGTTCACAAGTGATGGGAAACTACCACTGAAAGAGACCCTGGCTCCAGCAGAATCGTTACATCCAAAAGCTCCACCCAAACTTGTTTGCAGCTTCTTGCTACTTTCTCTGTCTTCCAATTTGCCATTTACCTCATTCAAAGGCCGTTTCCGATAACTAACTGTAGAAGTTTCCACAACTGTATCTGAAAGATCTATATTCTTAATTTTTTTATCAGTAGGTACCTGAAAGTTGGCCCCTTCCAAATCCAGCTCTCCCTGAAACGTTGCCTCCTCATTAATATTGAGATCATTCTCCAACTGTTTCCTTTTAGGCCTTTGCTGATTCTCATCATATTTTGTTCTCTCTAAAGTTTTATCCTTAATGATATTACTTGCAGTATCTATTTGGCAAACGACAGAAGGGATCTCCGAAGACAAAGAGGTCTCTTGCTTACCAGAAATATCAGGATTAGTTTTTGTTTCCACAATCCTTCTACTTACACTAGTTCCCATTGCTTCGGGAGGTTTAGACTGTATGTACCGTCTATGATCTGGTGCACTATCTCCCTGCAAATACCAAGAATATCATTAAAAAACGAGATGACTAGTAGCAGGACTTACGTTTTCATAAAACATTTATAACTTCCTTCTTTCCTCCTAAGAAGTGGTTAGCATCATCTCATAGCAGCATTTTCTTCTTTTACTTAATATAGCTATTTTTAATCTCCCCTTGTATATCATAATTGAATGATTGGTAAGTGTATATAATTAACAACTTGCGTTCTTAACTTCCTTGTAGAACCATCAAAAACAATTATCAAAAACTAATCAGTACAAAGTCTATAATTCAGAAAATAAAAAATAGCATTTCTAACTTACAATTACTACATATCAAGATCAGATCACAATTTAAGAGGATTTATGTCAAATAGCAAACAGAAACTCTTGAATCTATCAAACAAGATATATAAGGATAAAAACATTACCAGGGACGAACCAGAGGAATTCATTTCTTGAAATGATTGGGTACCGGTGATCTGAATCCCTGATGTAGATTTGGTGTTGACTCTAGAATCTTGTCTCTCTAACTTTACTTGCAATTCCAAATGTGTCTGGCCAAACACAGTTCCCTTACTATCAAAATTCCTACATGGCTTATTGTGACCTTGATCAATGGACTCTTCATCTATGCGTTTTGGTGAACACCAAGTTTCAGACAAAGTCATGATGACAGATGGATCCTTCTCATTTGGCATCACATTCAAACTGGGAATACATGCACTTTTTGTGGAATCTGAATGATTGATCCTCCTCCCTCTAAATATACCCCATAGAAAAAATAACATATTCCAACCTGCAGAGACAGTTTAAACAGTTGATATTTCTTATTGAAAAACCTTGTTGCATAGCTGATCATTTATATTTTCAGCCAAGTAAACTGCCAAACAACCCATACTGAGCACAACCCAGTGATGATCCGAAGGAGGGAGAAGATTCACAGGCCAAAGCACAACACTATCAACAAACTAATGCCAACCAGAGCAACAAATCATTGCTTCTGACAACAAAATTCAGTATAAAGCACTTCTCACGTTTATTTCATCAAGATGAGTTGGTTTTAGAATTCCAACAAAGAGAATTCTGATTCAAAATGAATGGATGTCATCAACTTGCATCGAGTATAAATACACCCAAGTTCCAAAAAATGGCAATATCATTTATAACAAAAACTCTAAAATACAATATAAAACAGATAACACACACATATATATATATAACAGATGAAAGCAAACTCTTTCGTAAGATACAATTCCCATTGTCTTTGTAAGAGACATTGTGAAGTTGCACACGAAATAAACTTTACAGAACTTAATAGTTAACGCCGCAAGCATAAACTTCAACCCAACACCAAAGCCATACACATAATTCACTAAGTTACCATGATCTCAGGAATTTTGGCAAGAGTACAGAATTATATCTTACGTTGTGAATCTTCCGGAAGCTGATTGGATGCAAATATGAGAAGTTCAACACCATCAAACGTCCCCCTAAGTGCCAAATCATTTCTAACCATGTGATCCAATAGACCCTTGTAGTGTCTCTCGTAA